GAGTAAAATTTATAACTCTGAGTGAGTGTGTAGAATTACCACAAAACTTATAAAGTTTTTCAATTATTTTCAATAGAATCATTATTAAGAAATTTTTCGAGATTGAAAGCATCACACGACGTTTCGTCCTTGCTTAAGGGACTCATCAGGTATGTTTACAATCAAGTACATTTAATCTAGAACTCTCCAATTCTGAAGAAGTTAAAGATTAATCCGTACTAAAATCCAAATAACGATATAAAATCATTATTAAGAAATTTTTCGAGATTGAAAGCATCACACGACGCATCTATGCGATGTCGATGGAGTCGTAAGTGGAGATTTGCGGTTTCGTTGGTGGTTGTTGTAGATGGTGTAGTTTTATAATTGTTAGTTTGCGGTGGATTTTGCGGATTTTCGTGTTTTTTTTTTTCTAGTCAATGTTTGCGTTGTTTGGTATAGTTTTGATTTGTTGTATGAAGTTGATTTCATCGCTGTGGATTGTTTATGTGTAGAGATATGCATATATTTTGGGTTATTGGAAGGAATGTGTAGCGATCGCCCGAAAAGAAACAGGCATAGTCAGGTATAATAAACGGTTGCGCTTCGTGTGTGTATATATGGAAGATGCCGCGATAGTTTTGAACTGATCCTCAGTGATTCTCGTCAAGTGGGTTAGTGTCTGAAAGTATCCTATGAGGTGTGTTACTGAGTTGGAAAGTATCGTTTGATGGATTTCTATAGTTCGAGGCTCCCTAAGGTGTATTTGGGAAAGGTAGATTTTAAAACATGTATTGAGAAGACGACTTTACCTTGGAACATTTTTCAATGTATATTGTGTTTGTTTCGACGTTGGTCGATAAATTTGTTGTACAGTGGTGCGATATATTTTTCGAATATCTGAAATGTATGGAAATTATTTAAAATGAATCATATGGATATGAATAAAGACTAATTGATGATTAAGTGTATTGTTTAATATTCACATTTACATTAGGGTAACACGAAGTCGAACAAATGTAGAACAAAAGTGGAAAAAAATGTTATTTATTATCTATTATTGTGTTTTCGGTTCCATTCCTTTGAGAATT